GCAGGCAGGACAAAGTCATCAGAGTTTCACTGTCGATATCTTTGGATGTGTGCATTCAGAGACCAAACCACACACACATCATTGTTACACACCCACAAAAATATCCACTAAAGAAGGCTGGAAACACGTCATCCCTTCATTACAACGTCATCGAATCCAACTGCAGCGAGTTTCATACTTGATCCGTCAACCTCCGACTTTAGTTACAAACTGCATTTCCCCATATCAGATTGTGCCGCTCGTACCACCGAGTTTACATTTTGAAACGTAAACTAAAGTTTTGAAAGTTTGCCCGGTGCTCTGCTGACAGCTTTTTATATTCGGGCTCCTTCAAGGCGAGACGGCTTCCATATTTGAATAACTGGGAAGTAAGCAACATGGAATTAATCACCGTGTTCTCGGAGATTTGAAAAGCTGAAATACTAAACAAAACTGCCACTGGAATGCTAATTCCAAAGATACATTTAACATGAAAACAAATGGGGTGTCAGCTGTAAAGCTTCACTCGCAACAAAGACCCGAACGTCGATGAAATAAACTCAATGATCCGAAAACTTCGATGCAAACGATTCGTAAATCAATCATTTGTAGAGTTCTTCACTATCTTTTCCTGCAAATGTTTTTTTCCAAAGAGAATAATGGGGAAGAAATTCACCTGGTCGGCCAAATAGAGACGCTGCAGATGTGATCCCAGCTCAACTTTCATTTAAACATTTATTATTAAATGTTGTCATGGAGGCACATTGTGGTTTTAAAGGATCGAATATTGCTGCAAATAAATGCTAAATAGGGAGACTATGGACATAAAAACCAAAACCATACCGGTCTCCACCCTGCTCATGTCAAACAAAAACTCCTGTGGGCAAACCCTTTTTTCCACCACATCAACAACTACCTCCCCGTGCTGCCCAGGGGAGGCGCGTGACCTTCACTGAAATATTGATGTGGGGACGAGGAGTGTTGGTTCCAAGTCAATAATGCAACAGGTGGATTAGTTCTGGTTCCAGAGAAAGCGAGCGGATGGGTCAATTCATTTTGGAAACCTCTTTAGAAACGATTAAAGGCAAACGGAGGGAATGAGAATAAAATAGTTCACATAAATTTGCTTTAACTTACTCGCTTGACCAACACAGAAATGCCATAAATTGGTACCTTTTTTTTTTTATTTTCAACAAAGAACTTCAAAATGCAGATGTACTTCTTTGGTGGGCACGTAGACCTGTTGCGGGCCGAGATGTTTTGCTACGTTACAGTGAACAGACTTAAGTGAGCACCTTTTTCCGTGACCATAATGAAGTTTGACATTTAGCATAAACTGGCACATCCGTCACACGCCAGACGTAGCCAAAGAGAGACTAAATGAAGGTGCAGCGTGAGTCAGTGAGGGGGGCCGGAGGAGGGGAAGCGGGAGAAATAAAGGGAATGAGGGGGAAATCGTCTTTGATGACTGATGTGTCTCGTGGCTTTCTTGTTTATTTCACCAGGCGGGAGGTTGAAAGCAGAGTAGGCCTGGGACCGATCAATGGCCGTCATTAGAGGAGGGAGCAGAGCCAGAACCAGAACCAATCACATGCCGGTTCCTTAAAACACGGAACAAGCGCGAGGCAGACGTGTGGTCTTTTTATGTGAGAGGGCGTTAAGTCACTTAAACCTTTTTGAAACTCTTACCGTTTAGATGAAACTGGTGGCACTGTATTCATGTAGCAGTTTGTTTTTGACCAAATGTCCAAAACCCCCCAAAATATTCAGTTCCTAAAAATTGTCCCAGCTTTACATCCGGTGCCGTGATATCTGTCTCTTCAGTGGCCCCACGCAACACAGTAAGCTCTTTTGAAGGGGACACATCTATCGAGTGGTTGCCATGACGTGCTAAATTGCGTCATGTGGGTGTTGAAATGGAGGCCAGGTGTGTGTGTGTGTGTGTGTGTGTGTGTATGTGCGTGTGCGTGTGCGTGCGTGCATGTGAGGGTGGCAGCTTGAGGGGTTTTATGCCAAAATGCTCCCAGACATTTCAAGCACGGAAAGCCTGCTTTGGACTTCACAAGGCGGCAGTCTGCTTAGTTTTAAAGATAACTTTCAGCGCTCTCTCTCGACCTTGATGCTGCCGCTAACGCATACGCGTAAACACACGTACATGTTCACACACACACACACATTTACATAAATGCCCCATATAGGGGTGAGGGGCAAGGGGAAAGATTGAGACATTGGATGTTCCAGCAGGTCTTTCCAAAAATGAACGAGGGTCTTGAACCCGTTGGAACCCGACACACGTGTCCCGTCCCGTGTCCTGAGGTTGAATTTCAGGTATCAGATTTACGTGGGCCAAATCCGCCCCCCCCCCGTCCCCTTTCCTAAACTCTCTGCTCGAGCTCAGTTAGCAGGTGACCTACAGGACGTCACCCGTAGAGACCTTCCAGCTCCCCCGCGCAACACATTAGAGAAGAGAAGAGAGGGCGAAGGGAGTTGAAAGGCGATTATGTCTGAGAACAAACTCAGGCAGACAAAGCCCTGTGATGTGGTGAAGTCCTCCATCCATCCCCAGGTACACAGGTAGACAATAGCAGCCGACTCAAAGCCCCACAAAATGCATTCTGTCTAGACATGCGAGCAAATCAAAGCAGAAAGGGTCCATACAGAGAAGACAAAGGCATTCATTAGGAGATACAACAACAAAAAGTTTTGGAGGTACTTTGAAGCACTTGAAATGCACTTGATTTAACCTGTTAACTAGAGACCAACGGCGTGAAATGACTCGGCAAAAGTGGAAGGAAACTACTTCTCGCTGTTGAAGAAAGTGTCTCCGCTGAAACCGTTTCATGATGCACCATGCTCATTTGTCCAGCGTCTCAGGCTGCCCATGCCGTACGTGTGTGGTTACATTGTTATCCTGCCACATCTCACTCGATTGTGTTGTGCTGACGTGGGGAGACTGAGGACACGGCACGGTATTCCTCCATTGTCGGAGGCTGCTTTTGTGAGGTCTGGAGGACACCATGTATTTAAAGGCTCATCAGCACTCTGATGCTCCTCACACAGGATGCTCTGAAGTTATCATGGCAGCAACTGTTTAAACTTTCATCGCCGTGATCAAGGGGTAAAATATGCTTCACCTTAGCACGCTTGCATGCGCGTTGATGAGGCACTGCAGAACTTTGACGAACGATACAGCGTTGATACAACAACTTTTTCCCCCGTGAGCCGGTTCAGAGGCACCGAGGCTTCGTCGATGGACCGACTTCCTCAATGAGAGAGCTCAAGTTTGTTTGAATGCCAAACTCTTGTATTTAAATATTAAACATATTTATAAAACCTACACGCCTGCAGCACATTTTTAGAGAACAAATAAAATAAACAGGACAAATAATTGAATAACGCGAACGAGGATCGTGAGGGTATTTGTGATTATTCTGTATAAAAAGTATTGTAACCCAACAAAGATTTCTGTAATCTTTGTACTTTTGTTTTCTTAAAATTACTTGCAGGTGTAAGGTAATGTATCACTGGTGTGAGCAAGTAGGCCATAGCTCAGTGGTGATTTTCTGATGTAACACACACATGCGAGTGGTAATGGAAGCTCCCATGTTGCCTCATCACTCATAAATATTTGAGACATGATTAACAATCAAAACAGCTTGACAAACACATGTTTTTTTGTTGTGAATAAAGTTCATGACCTGCGTTTTGTCGGTGCTTGTTGTATATTAGCCGTTATCCGTCTATGCGGGAAACATGTGGACACAAGTTGGGTTTGCATCTAAAACAATTTGGGTCAACTCTCTAAAAAAGGGGGGGAAGTTGACCAAAAGCAGACTCTTCTTCAACTTACTCTTATTATAAACATACTTATTATAAAATTATCGTATCAGTGCGTTACTCCAGAAAAGAAAGTGTGAAAGAGTTGGTCGCCCGCCCGAGAAGCGCATGCTTTTTGTTTTGTTGCCTCCATATGAGTAACTTGGCGGCACGTACGGATCGTGATGACATGGTGGTGAACGTGCCAGTTGCGCTGGCCACCATATGAAAAAGAAACAAAAAGAATTGTCGGAGCTCCAAACACTGGAGGTCAGTGTTCCATCCGAAGGAGAATGTGCACAATGGCCGACGTGGTCTGTGACGGAGTGCCAGCTGCGGCCTTTACTCGGCCATCTTTCAAGCCTAAACCGGGTGTTTTTATGTCTGCGGGCTTATTTTGTCAGTCTGATCGCTTCACAAGCATGCAAGACGTCGCCACGACTCAAAACGCGTAGTCCAGTCCAAGTTCGAGGATTGATGTGGTCTATGCAAGGGTGCTTTTGAGTAGAAGAAACATGATTTTCTTTGGGGGGGTTGTCAGACTGGTCCTGTGGTCCCATGTGGGAGTCCTGACCCCCCCCCCCACCAGGGTGAAGAACACTGGCACAAAGTACAGCGGGATTTATCTTCAGCGGGGAAATGAGCTGAGGGTCAACCGGGATCCTATGAGTCAAGACGTCAGCTGCTGCACACGGGGGGAATCCAGGCCTCACTGTCCTCATCACAGGCAACAGACCCCTGTGATGATGAAGCGTGATGACTCCTTTTATGTGAGACCAAGTCTCATGTCTAATGGCCCTATAATTACTGGAGAGTGTAAACATGACAAAACACAACATACAGACTTGGGATTAGTCCTGGAGTAAGTGTTGTGGTTTCGGAAACCACAGATTCACGTGTGTGTGTGTGTGTGTGTATGTGTGTTAAGTGTGTGTCGTCTCTGCTAGCAGTGCCTCTTCCAACACTGTGTGTGCTGCCAATTTGTTGTTGTTGTTGTTGTTGTTGTTTGAGGATGTGATCGCGCTGGCAACATACAAAATGCATCGCCTCCCAACAAAAGACAGAGATGTTTTTTTGGACTGTAAAGGTAAACGTGCTCGCCGCTTACACGCTGTACTACATCACAACAGCGGAACAGAGAAGGCACAAGATTGTATCTCACAGATACGTCAAGGAAATCCACCACTTACGCTCCTGCCGCTTACCTTGGCAGGCGGCGTTGACTGTAGGCGGCGTTGACTGTAGCTTGCTCTCGTGAGGGGAAAGGCAGCTGCAGCTCAAAATCACAGAAAAAGACGAAATAACGTATTAAACCCAAATGAACTCAATCTCTGTGATCCGTGTGTTTTTCAAAAGGTTCCAAAGGAATCTTCATTTTCAACCGTCGGTTCGATCCCCCGGACCAGATGGAATTTAGTTGGGAAATGAAAAGCAGCACTTACCCCTCCCTCATTACCACCACTGAGGCGCCCTTGTTGAGCTGCTCGGTGACCAGCAGACTGGTTCTGCACCACAGCTTCCAGCTGAGAATATGAAGCTGTGATCAGGGCGCTCTTGAAAAAAATAAATAAACCCGCTGCTATCAACGTGAATCTATTTTGCAAATGACTCCAGTGCTGCAAGAAGAAACTGCGTGTGACATAAAGGCACTAACGTATAAAAAGAGACAGTACAAACATCTTCCAGAATTGAACCCCTCTCGTCGGTTTGCCTGAAAGCAACATGGCTGCCTTGCTTTTGTCACGGCTTTGTCCCGCCTTTTTAAAAACAACCACAGACACAGTCACATGCCTGCTGTACTAACTCCCTATAGGATGAAAAAAACAGAAAAGCCATAAGATTCACGAGCGATAAGTCAGCCCAAAACCTCCCCTCGTTTAACCAGTGTCTCATAACTCTGTCTCACTAATCTCCTTGACAACACACATGGACTGTGACAGATTCTGAATTTAAAACTTCATTATGGTCGCGTGAAAGGTGCTAAATCAACTTCAGTCACTTGCGGGTGAAGTTTTGTTCCAAAGGAACATGTCTTCAAAATCCACTTAGTGCTTTGAGTCGAGCATGCTTAAAAATCTACTCAAAACGTCCTTGATTTATCTTTAGAGCTGAGTTCCCACTACGGAGACCAGTGCTTAAGAGAGTATTTCCTGCAAATGGGCCAATTTTGTTGTATATTTTCTGTTTTTTATCGACTGTCTCGGAAGCACTTGTGCAGAGAAACATTTCTCCAAATCCCTTTTCTATCTTAATCTATTTGTAAGGTCCATGACCTGAGTTCCTCTTACAAGTAAAGGAATTTCCTAATGGAAAGTGGCCACACAAAGGATACTTATCCCTTCCTCAAGATACTCATCAGCATTACAAATTCAATGTTGATAAGTATCTCGATTGCAAAAGAAGGCAAATATGGTCTTTTAAGATGGTCATTTAGAAGCTGAGATTTATAATATGACAGATAACATTTGCCCGTCGCGAAGCGAGAAATAACATAATATTTGAACCCTCCGGCGTTTCCCGCTGAGCCTCAAACAAAGTAATTCAATGACCTTTTAATTGGTGGGGATTATGGTATCTTCTCCCTGTGGGTTGCTGGTTTTAAACCTCATTATATCTTGTCTGATTATGTATTTAATCCTGAACCTGACATCGAATGGTCCACCGGACCGAGAAAACACATCTGCTCACTAAACTAAAGGCACCTGGATCATGACGCACTGGAGCACCTCATCGTGGAGATGAACTGACATGCTACTTATTATGTGTATCAATATAATATGTTTTACCAAGAACACGTGAAGTTCTTCATTAATTAGAGTTTTACCACGTTTAAGAACACAATGTAGCTGTAAACTGGTGCACTGAGTTTCTGCAGTGAACCCAAGGTGGAGGCAGTGGCAGAAAAGGAATCCTTCTGGAGCACAATTTATCACGGCTCGGCCCTTTTTTATAGCCAGAATCAGTGCACGGGAGGTTTCACAACATAAATCTGAATGCGCTTATTTTATGTCTCCCTGAACTCGACCATCATTTCTGCCTTAATGTTGTTTTCGGGTGCAACGGCTCTCACAGCAGGAACGGAAATGTTCAATACTAAAACTATAGTGCCAGTCATGGAAAACGCGTCTGGGAGTCTCAGTCAATAAACACTGTTGAGACCGGTCCTTTCCGTCATCCTCTAGCAATCATATGATGTATATTTATGGTTGTAGATGCTGACCTGCCTGATCTCGTTGTTCATGGCTGGAGTTGCACAGTTCGCCTAAATCTGGCTTCCTTTTCTCTTTATATTGCGCATTGATTGTTGAAAAAGAAGTGGATCTCGCAACGTCTGACCTTTCATGCGTCTGCCCCTCACACGTAGCACATCATCTAGCACGTCCGCCCACTGGTGTGAAATCAAGAGCAAGTCTGTTGTCAGAAGGTTGCAAAAAGGCTGCCAGTGATACAAAATCCTCAGCTGGTGATTGAAGAAAACTTGTGTGAAGTCGATGCCTTGTGATGAACCGAGCAAATGAGCTAAAGCTTTTAGGGACGTGTGTTGGGAGGCGGAGTGTTGAGAAGAGTGGTGGGCTGTGATGTATGTATGAAAGCAATGATGTCACAAGAACCATTTGTCTGGGAGATAAAGAGCGGGGGAAGTTGTTATCTAGGAGAGATAGAGAAAATATATCGCAAGTAAGATTCATTATGTAATAACCTGGAGCCGCTACTTGCACCAGTTCACTTGAGACAGAAAAAACGGTGTGCTTCTGATGCGTCGTGAAAAAAGGTAATTCTATCGATCTAACTATCAATAATGAATGATGGCTGTCATCCAGTGTTGCTCCACACTTCTCAACCATTGCAACGCTGCAGCGCTTCTCCATTCCTTCCTGGGTCACTCCCACAAGACAAATTCCAGAGCTTTCCTGAAAAAATGCCCTCAGACCGCATTAGCCCAAATAACACTCTTGATTAACAATTTGCTAACGGACACTGATGTCTGTTCATGTGAGAGACATCCAAAGGCTAATGCATTACTCACACAGCCTGGTGTTTCTGGTCACACACACACACGCACACACACACACACACACGTGCACACAGGAAAAGAAAAACATGCATACTCTCATGCACAAAAACCCCACTTAGAGCTTGTACATGTGTGCATAACTCTCTCAGGCTCCTTTGGCCTGTTACCTGAATGAAGCTCGTGGGCCAAGTTTGGTTTGTAATTCAACCCCTCTCTGCTCTGAACCCATGACAAGCAAAACTTCAGCAGGTGACAGAGACAGAGAGCATGACTTGGACTAAACGCTGGTGTTTGTTTTAGTTTATTTTGTCCCCGTGAGTTATTAACCTCACCAAGATAAACGCTGATTAATTTAACTGATCAGAAACACATGGCTAAACTGCTGCAAGGCCCTGATGAGAAGTGAATCCAAACGGGCCTGATACTCTAGATCTAATTCATTACTGTAAGTACATGTAGATTTATTGCCTCAGACACAGCAATGGATCAAAGCAACATCGGCAGATTGGATTACTGAATTTACAGTCGATGATTGCTTTTTACAGGGAGAAAGGAAAAAATAAGAGAATCTGATATTTCTTTCTCGGGTAATCCTTTTGTGCGATGACAACATCATTTTCATGCTGACGTCTCTCTCCCTCATTACAGTAAACCAGAACATGTGTACGTGGTGTCGTTTGTTTGCGCTTGTAATTAAAGACACGTCACTTAGAGACACTGAGGTCTCTGCAGGCCAAGACACACACTAAGAGAGATGTCTATTCTGTAATAAAACCAAATGAATCATTGTAATTATTGTCAGACGGGTGCTTAGAGGGAATACCTCAGAGGCCATCATTATGCTGTATGGTAGCATGGGCATCGCCTCAGTGTTGGAGCTGCACATATGTGTGGGTTTAAGCGGTCGTGCAGTATTGAGAAAAGGGATTTTTATCAGGAAAGCTCTCGATACAGGTGACAAGAAAATGGCAATGCAGAATATTTATTAACTCAACTGAACAGTAATGATCCTCCTAATATTGTGTCTGTGCTCCAAGGAAGTATCATGATATTTGATGGCATACCTGCAAACATTTCATTACACAAGACAAGTGGTTTGGGAACTGCTGAAATACATTCCCAAAAAGGAGAGAAAATGCAGTCCAAGTTCATTCAGCTACAAATCATATTTTCTTTATCATATTTTGGTGCTGCGGTTGAGTGAAATCCCCCAATGCATACATACAACTATGCTTATTTTTGGTTGTAATTTTATTGATTTGTGGAGACTGTAGGGTTTGGATTCTGTTAGAAATGCTGATTTGAGCAAAGCAAACTTTGCCACGTTCGTTTCCAGAAAGGCAACAACAACAGAGAGCTGGTCTTCTGTCCTAATAATGTCTTCACACCAATGTATGGCACATCAAACCAATTGATTCCACTCTCATCCCTCCGTCCACAATAAAGAGCTCAACGAAACAACAGATGCTAGTTTATCTGGTAAGATTTCACAGAAGAGTAAAATATAAATTCAAGTAGTGAAATATGTTTAATAGCAACACAGAGTCCTTTATTCAAAAAGTCCCGCCATTGGCAGTTTTCTCAAAGAGAAGCAAGTTAAGTAAATGTGCATCTGGGACGAGTAATATGTAACGATTCACTGTGCTGTCGTGGTTTCTCAGTCCTGCGAGGGTGACTCGCAACATTGTCAACTCTCCTAATGTGTAAATATAAATAAATAAAGACATCTGACGGTCTTCGTTTGAAGACCTGTGGGATAAACAGAAAAATGCATCATAAAGTCATCAGGCCAAAAAAAAAGAAACTAAACTAAATTGTCGCTCTAATTGAGGTTTGAGGTTTTCACCCGACAGCAGTGATATCCGATAATGTGGATCAGTCTCCTCTGGCTCTCGAGTGTTTAGTCTGAGAGCTGCACACCACCATCTGCTTTACAGCTGCCTGTTGGAGGAACTAATGCGAACAACGATAATGTCTAATCATCTATGCTACTTTGAGCTAACGGCTAACACAACCATTCAGGAGGTGAGGGAGTGTCTTTGTTAACTAATCAAATGGATCATTGCTAAATGTTATGTTTTGGTTATTTATCTTGATGACCATTTATAAAAAGGTTATAGTTGATACTTCATTGAGTTTATTTGGCGCTGGTTCAATGTAACTCTGATTTCAAATGACCATCAGTCAATATCAGTTGTTGTGCAAGTATTACATGCATGCATTCCAGTTGATTTACATTAAATCAAATACAATCATAACTGTACATTGGTATTATTCTATTACAGTTGCAGAATTACAGTGGTTTTACAATATTGTCATTACTTTATTGATTACACAGTTTCAGAATCATGGCTGTATTCTGGTGTACACTAAATGCATTTTATTCATTCATGAACCGGGTCGTCAGTTTATTTCTAATATCCACTGTCAAGACTTGA